AAAAAAAAAAAAAAAAAAAACCATGAATTCATTAAATAATAGCTTCTTTATAGAGGTGCGGTAATAATTCTTAAAGCATCCTTAAATCATACATTGTCTCCTCAGATCTTAAAATTAATAACGAGATACATTCATTATTTATTCTGTAGTAAAACATCATTTTCAGTATTTAGAAGTAATCGTATTAACACTATATCAGATAAATTCACATTTTCCAACAAAAATCAATGGAAAAATGAAAGCACGTGTGAAAACACTAAGTTGAGAATTCTCTCACACAATGTAACCAAGCATCACCCAAGTTTCTAGAAATTACTAAGGGCCTGCTTGTTTACTAATTTATTAAAACTGTTTTTATTTTCTGTTAACTGGGGTTTATTTGAAAAAAGATAGGATGGTTAGTTGTTAGTGGGATTTTAAGTTTGTATTAAAATAATATTTAAACTAAAATCATTAAAATTGGTTTGATGTAAAAGTAGGAGACAAATGATTGGAAAGATTGGAAACTATAGGTAGTTAGAATTATGTGAGTGGATGAATAGTGAATTAAAGTTGATATGATGTGTAAGGATGATTGAATGATACTATTTAATTTTGATAATATTTGAGGATGTTGGGATCGAATTAAAGTTGAGTTAGATTTTGAGTTGAGATTGGATTTTTTTTAGTGTTTTTGATAAACAAGCAAGCCCTAAGCTAGAACCTTTACTGCATAAAATATTCATTTCTCAAAAGGAGATTAAAAGAATACAGTAAAAAGTATTCCTAAGTCATTCCAAAATGCTAGGAGAATCCTCACTTGCCTCCATTTATTAAGAACCACCTCAACATCGGTTGAGGTGGTTCGGACATGTCCAAGGGAGATCTCCTGATGCACCGGTGCGTAGGGGAGTTCTACAACGGACCGATGATGTTAAGAGAGGTAGAGGTCGGCCTAAACTCACTTGGGAAGAGTCGGTTCAGAGAGACCTTAAAAATTGAAATACCTTTAAGGAGATAGCGGTGGATAGAGAGCGCTTAGAGGCTAGCGATCAACGTGCCGGAACCGTGACTTTTGCTCCTTTCTCTTTTGCTCCAATCTCTTCCTTTTGTTTTGTTTTTGTTTTGAGTTTTGTTTTGTTTTGTTTTGCTTTGTTTTGAGCCCTTTTTGTGTTTCTCTTACCACTGTTTCTCTTGATTTTCATCTCTAGCCAATTTGTTTGGGACTAAAAGCTTTGTTTTTGTTGGTTGTTGTTGTTGGGACCTTTCTATAAGTTCGCCATAACTATCATCTCAGTAAATGACAACCACAACTTCACCTATACAAACAGTCAGTGTTATAGGATTTCCACCATGGTGTACGGCATGGCGGATTTGTGCGAAACCACATTAGAAATTTGTGAAGGATGGCGGTTATTGTGGGAATATAGCCTGCCGCCATTTTCCACCATCAGCCGCTGATAACACTATCAAGTATACTATACCCTAGTTTTCATGTTATGTGACCTCGAAGGGTTTGCAACAAGCAAAAGAACAAGCCATGCCTTAGAAGAACAAAAAGCTTTTAGGCATAACGACTTCCAACAACCACAACTATACATCTTTAGTATTCAGTGTCAAGATGGCCGACACAAAGGCAAGCAAAATACTGTTAAATCTATTAAGAGCTCTAGATTTCTCAGCCATATGCAAGCCTCAACGAATGTAACACAAAGTTGTGAACAATTCTCTTGATCTAACCCCCTCCAATAGGACCAATACAGATATTGACCATCCATACAATGCAATAATTTAAAGAATGCGGCATTAATATGTTCCCACGCTCAGTTGCCTAGGACTATTATATTTCAAAAGAACTAGTACAACACCACGTATACGAAGGAGTGCTCGCTCGATTCGCAGATTGGTCCGACTCGTAATTCACTTCTGACCCCGTGTTCGATAGTGTCCACAAACAAAACAAATAAGTAGTAGTAGTTCATGAGACCTCGAATTCCCACGTTCCAGCGTGCATTATGCCAACAGGTCCCACCTCTCATAAAACAGAACTCCTAGTAGGCCACGAACTCCCTTTCAAGCTTTAACCGACCCCGCAGAAAAAGGTGAACAGCTTCAGTTATAAGTTCCGCTCGAGTGGAACGGTTGTTGGTATTCGCTTCGCACTCCTTCGCATTCGGACTTACGGTTAGTTTAGTCACTTAGCGTCTCACTATGTAAAATTACAAAGAGTTAAAGGGTTATATTAGTAAAAGTGATATTAAAATACCTAAATTAGCTAAATAATATTTATGGAATACCCGAACCTAGATTATTAATTATTAATATATCAATATTATTTATCCAAACCTAATTACGAAGCATGATTCTTCGTCAAATAGGATTCCGAAGCACCAGAAGCAGCCACGTAGGCTCAGCGCATTCTGAAATTATATATAGGGAGGATATTAGCCAAGCCTATATACTAATGTTAGACCCAAGAAAGAATATTATTCTGAACAAAAATCAGAACAAGAAGCTTGTGATATAGAATATATACGCTCAAGATCATAGGTGGATATAACTAAATGAGCAAATATAATAAAATTGTCTTATAGCCAACTATTAAAACTAAGACAAACCCATTCGGAACCATAAGCCACCACTTGCAAAAGCAACAACAATAATAAAGATTCACAAGTTTATCGGTTGAAATTAATAAAATGGCACATCAAAAGGCCTGAGCAAGGTCGAAATAAGATGTAAATACGCAAAATGAAAAGAAATTTATTTGAAAACCCCAGTCATTTAAATGACTCCAACCTGATGTATTCCACTTTCGTGAGCAAAAGCATTAGCCCCAACAATTGCTTTATGTGGCTGCACACGCAGACCACTGTATTCTTCTACCTGAAAATATAGTATTAGTGAAATTCACAGAATCAACCAAGTCAAAAATAAAAAATATAAAATAAACAAGAACCAAGAAGCCGAGGACAATGTACCATCTTGCTTGCCATAATAATGTGGTGTGTATTGATCCCAGTATAAAGGCCATCCAGTACTTGCTCTCCACGGCATTTCAATGCCATTACAACCTGAAGCAAGCAGAAAAGAGAAATCAAGAGCATTCAGTAGACCAGAACTTGGGCAAATTGATTGGTCTGACAAAGAAGAGCAGCTGTAACTTAGAAGAAGGAGAAAACAATGCCATTTATGACAACTAAGATAGCTTCCTCATCATCACGAGTAGTAAAATGAAGATTATGTTTTTACGTTCTTTTGTCTCAATAACATTCAGACTTTCTCTAAGTAAATTCAGGCAGCAAAGAGAAATGGAAAAATTATATGCACTACCTCTACACTAGAGACCCCCTGCATAAAGGAAAAGCACTTCAGAACAAGAACAAGATATCAGAACAGAGACGCACCTCCTCCAGTGAGGCATTACCAGCTCTCTCACCAATGCCATTAATGGTCACCTCTAGTTGCCTAGCACCAGCATATGCGCCCTGAAGACAAATAAGCAACAGTTTGGGTATATATGTTTTTTATTATTATATATAGCTTACAGCACAGACCAAAAAATTGCATACCGCTAAAGTATTAGCAGTGGAAAGTCCAAGGTCATTCTGACAGTGAGTCGAAATAATCACATTTTCAATTCCAGGGGTGTTGGCTTTTATATCAGCAATTAATTGTCCAAATTCATTGGGTAACGTATAGCCGACTGTGTCAGGTATGTTAAGAGTTGTTGCACCAGCCTTGATGACTTCTCCCAGGATTTGATAAAGAAACTCCCTATCTGATCTGTACAATACAAAAGAAGAGAAAGGTAAAACTCTTTCTATAAGAGGTCAGATTAAGGTATTCCAACCATCAATTGCATCCTACCACCCCCCAGGTTTAAAATAGTTGGAAATTCAAGAAAACTTCCAGTACAGTGGCTTTCATCATCGTGACCTTTATGGATTAGTTTTATGCACCAGATGGTAGACCCATCAACGTTAAACCATTCACATAATCTTCAAGGCTCTATAGAGTACAAAAGGCAATTAAGCACATCTACCACCAAATCCAGCACCTTATTGAGGTAAAAATATTTTCATCAAAGTCGGTATAATATTTTTAAGGCCAAATCAAAACATACAATGGGAAATAGTGCCAGCCACACCACATATTATGCATACACTTACCTTTCAGACTACTGATGCCCTTAGGGACAGTAAAAACAGCATTTAGGGAAAAGTGAAGCTGGCGGTGAAGGATATATACATATAAAGCAGGGTAATAATTCTAATGTTAATAAACAATAATCCGAAATGCAGAGGCAAAATAAAATTCACAGGTGCATCTTTTCCACCAAAATATAGTCCTTATCTGTAACATTTGAATCCCATTTTAACAGACACAGAATGTCAGGGAAAATAAATGATGCGGCGATTTTATAACAAAATAATCCACCAGTCAAATGACTTGAACTCTTGACGATTTTGAATTACTGTATTGAATTTAAACATGAAAGAACATGGTTCTAAAAAGTTCTACTTTTGATATAGAATATTAATTAGTAAATCCAGACAAAAACTGTTCTTCTACTCACCTTTTTGCCACTTGTGAATGAAAGTGGTTAGGAAATTTGATCAGTTTAGTTAGAAATATGTGCTGCAGAGTTAAATCAAATGTCACACCACATGCATCTGCAACACTTGCCCATCTTTCCATTTACATGTAAAGTCTAAAATGTGAATTCTGAATAATATTTTAACAAGTCATCCTCTTCTTCTTCTTCTTCTTCTTCCTTTTTATTTCCACAGAATTACAATAAGAGAAGTAAACAATCCTTTTGTCACCTTCCAGCATCTTCGGGGCTGAACTCGACGTCCTCACATCCTAAACTTCTGGCATAAGTCACCATGCTCCTAGCCTTCTCAATCACCTGCTCCGGGGTCATCTTCAGCTTAAACTTCATGTGAATTTCACTAGTCGCGATAAACGTGTGTATCCTAGGCTTCTTGGCGAAATTCACAGCCTCCCACGCCCTATCGATGTCCCGCTTGTTGCACCTGGCCAAGCCACAGATGACCGGCACATGATCGGAATCCACATTTCCGACCTCACGCGCGATCAGTCGGACACCTTCAAAGTCGGCATCAGAGGAGGCTGGGAAACCGGCCTCGATTATGTCGACCCCGAGGCGAACGAGCTGTCTGGCGGTATCAAGCTTCTCCTTGGTGGTCATGGTGGCGCCGGGGGACTGCTCGCCGTCTCGGAGCGTGGTGTCAAATATGCGGACATACTTTGGGTCCGGAATGTGGTTCGGGATGTACTCCGGCCGGCGGAGGGAGCAGCGGATGGCCGTGGCTGGAGCCGCATTTGGTTGTTTGAATAGATAGAAGGAACGGAGGGGAAATCTGTTGGACGGAAAGCTCCTTTGGGCGGCTGGGGCAATCAGTGAGTGGTTGCAGATTGCAGACGCCATTGTTCGAAACTTTGAATGGGTCAAGCTAGGTTTAATATAGACGTGGAGGGTTTTAAGAAAGTTCAGTCAATATTTGTCAAGTGCTGTTAATTTACACTTGCTAGGTGTTTAGGGGCAAATAATTAGGTGCGCCCTTGCACACCTTGACACCTCCCCCAAAAGCGCGTGAGGTAAGGAGGATAAATATTTTTGGAAAAAAAATTTTGAGCAACCTGATCTTTGCCCACTTTAAAAAAATACAACCTAATCGTTCTAAATTGATAAAAAGCAACTTGTACTAATCGAGCTTGTTAAAAACCAACCCAACCAGCCGGATTGTCGGAAAAATGAAAAAAAATGGCATTTTAAGGGTACTTTGGTAATTTAAATTGCCAATAAAAAAAATATAACATAATGTAAGGCCGGATATCTTGTTCTTCTTCCACTTTGTCTTCTGTTTCAGAAATTTGGGGAAAAATGGAGTGGAAGCAAACCGTCGAATTTGCTGTGGAACGTTATTGCCGTTGTGGGAAAACTGTTGTGACGAGAACGTCATGGACCGACCTCAACCCTGGACGAAGATATATGTCATGTGCAAAAACTCGGGTATGTTCTTCAAATTTTGAAACCCTAATTTTGTTTTTTTTAATTTGGATGAAATCGAGATGGGTGTTGGACATGGTGTATATGGATTGAAAAACCCTAATTTCGTTATGGTTTTTGATCATGTAGGAGGAGGGAGGTTGCCCATATTTTGTATGGATTGAGAAACCACTTTGTCCTAGGGCTTGCTAAATCATTCCCGGGCTGTTGAGACGAGCAAATAAGTTTGAAGCTGAGGTTGAGATGCTCCAAGCAGATATTCATAATCTTGAAATGGAGCAAAAACAAATGTTGGCAAAAGGTGAGAAACTTGAAGGGGTGATAAAGAGCAAGAAATTTAGGGAGCGGTGTTTGTTCATAGCGCTTCTTTTTTCATGTGTCCTAATTTATTGTAATCTAATGTAGTAGTTTGTTCATGGAACTTCTGTTTTCTTGGCTATTTGTAAAACTGACCATGTTTCCTTGTAGTGAAGTTGGGTTTACATTTCACTATGATTGTTATTTCAATTTTGTGTTGGTTGCTGATATATTGTAATTGCATTAACTAAACAGCCAAGAAGAAATCTTGGCTTAACAACTATGCAAGTTAACAATAACAAACTTCAGCCACTAAGCATATCAAACCTAGGGGTGTTTTTTTCTGCAAACAGAGAATTGAAATTACCAACGAAACTCAAAATTGATCAAATGACTCATTGCTTTTCATATATTCAGAAAAACTAAAATCTGTATTCTCTTAACAATTCATATCACGATCTCTGAATCTTAACAAGAACACTAACAAACCAAAACCACAAAACTCAACTCTCTTGCATCAAACCAAAACAGCAAAGAAGAAGTAATACTGCAAAGGAGTTTTATATCATTAGCAAAACATCAAGTGCATTCATAGGAGTTTCAATGATCCAATCCATAAGAAAGTACTTCTAAAGATCCCACAATTACCCAAAACAATCAAAGACCCTCAAAAGTACTTCAAAAAACCCAACTACAATCCCAAAAAGACTCAAAACAATCCCAACATGATTGATTATTGTGTCCCCTGCACATTTTGATTCTTGGATGATGTTCCTTTTTGGTTGGAGAAAGTAGCTCCATGAAATACCCCAGGTGGCCTCCACAATGCCTTCTTCTGGTTGTTCATTGTTTCAGGAATATGCTTTTTCACCTAAACAAGGAGAATGCAAGTGTATAAAATTTAACAGAAAATAAAAAATTTAACTAAAACCTTTATAAATATTTACCTGGAATTTTTGCTTCTTTAATCCAAGAGTTTTCATAGTCACACTGCTTGATATAGGAACACTACTACTCTGCTACAATAAATATATATAAATATTGAATGAATGGTTTTTCAAAGAAAATATTTATAAAAAATGAGGTCATATAATACCTGGGAATGTGAGAGTTGTGTACCATGACTCTGAAGTATGAAACTCTTGAGATTGTACATTTTCCCCATCAGATATCTTTCTTCTTTTTTCCTTCATATAAAGTAAACAGGCTGAAATATATAAAGTAAACAAATAGATAAAGAATTACAAAGAAATAGGCTGAAGAGTTACTAGTTACCTGCTCCTCAGTTGTAGGTATGTCTGGTCCCTGATGAGGTGAATAATTAAACTTTTTCAGTGGGCACCCTCTCATATTGTGGTTCTCCTTGTGGCACAAAGAACACTTCACAGTGGTGCCTTTTTTACTCAGTTTTACTTTAGCTTCCTTCTTTTGTTTAACCTTATCTTGTACCTCATCAGGGGCTTTCTTCCTATTGTTTTTTTT